CCATCAAAGCGCGACCACTGGCGTTTACACTCGCGCATCCCCACGCTGTGTGATGGGAGTTGAAATCCCCACACAACACAGCCGCTCTTCCGAGGCGATCGGCTAGCCGCACAATAAAGTCGGCGTCCCACTCGCGCGACGAGTGAACATACACTCGCGACACATGTGTCTGTCGTACCAACACGCACCCTCACTGCCACACACTCGACGCCCGCACCGAGAATGTCAGATACGTCGAGACGCACTTGGGGAAGGCGCGCGCGCACGTAGAGAGAGGTCCTTGCCAGGCCCTGAGGGTGCGCCGGGTTATTGCAGTGCGTGCTTAAGCACGCGCTGTTCCTGCAGCTCGTGGCCCCGTGGTAAGCCACATACCCTGGCAGGTTGAGGGCCCCATCACGAACTCGCGTCTCTTGCAGTGCCAGGACGTCGAGGTCGCGTTGGGGCAGTGAGCGGGTGAGCTCAGGGATACGGCAGCGGAGGGAACGCACGTTCCACTGGAAAATCCGCGTCCGCGGCTTCTTCCATGCACTATCCATGGAGTGTGAGGTCGTGATGTGCGCGCAAAGCTGCGATGCAGTAGTCGCGCGTCGCCGGGCTGCACACCGTAGTCTCCAGGAGTGCGCGAAGAGCCGCGGCCAGTGCCGTCATCACTGTATCCCTTGCGTCCTTTTGGGGAGGGGGGACGTGTGGGCTGTGTGGCCGCTGGTGCCGGTGCTGTGGTGGCATTGCCCTTCAAGGCATCGCGGAAAGAGCAGCCAGAGTGTGTGGCTGCCGTTGTTGTCGCTGAAGCCTCCCGTTGAAGCGAAGCTTTTGCTCGCTCGATGGCTTCGCGGCGCGACAATTTTCCGCCAGAGGAGGCGAGGAGAAAGGCGGCCTTTCGCTGCAGCTGCCATGACTCGCACCGAGGTTCGTTGGCGGGGTGGGAGCCCTTGCAGTTGATGCAGCGGGGTCTTTCTGAGGGGCAGGGACCCTCTGCGTGTTTCCCGCCGCAACGGAGGCAGCGCTTGTCGCGCGAGCACGTTGCTGTGGCGTGTCCGAACACACCGCAACGCGCACACTGCAGCGGTCGTGGGAGGCGCGCCCGAACCGGCCTCCGCTGTTTAAAGAGCAAGAGCTCGCCTGGCACGACAGTTCCCTCGAAAGTAATGACAAGCGTGGAGCCGCGCCGCGCACACGACAGGGTCCTTGCCGCTGAAGAGATGTTCGCGGCAATGCGGTCGAGAGGAATGTTTTCATCAACCCCAAACACCTCCCCAACACAGGAGTTGAGGTCGAGCACCTTCGCCTTTACTCTGACATCAACGATGGTGGTGATCTCGAGGAGAGCACTGACATCAGAGTGTGGGGCGGTGTCGACAGCGACGAGATTGCGGCGGTGGTTGACCCGCACCCTTTGTGTGGCTGGAAAACCAGCGAGGAAGGCAGAGATAGCGTCCCTCGATGCAGCCAGGAAGTGTGACTTACGGCCGACCGGTCTGAAAATGATCGTCTGGCCGATGGCGTCACCAGCAGGCTGCGGTGGTGATTGCCTCATAGGGGCGCAGATCTCCGCTACCGCCTGAGAGGAAATCGGGCGTGGCGCTGGCTTCTGCTTTTTCGTCGGTTTCCCCTTCCCTCTTGTCTGCGGCAGAAAGGAGTCGACCGGCGCGCACAGGGTTAGCTTGCCCGGGGCCTCCGTGGTTGGAAGAGGGGGAAAGCTCGCAAAGCCCGCCGGGGAGGAGACTCCGGATGTTGAGGGGAGTGGCACCTCCTCTCTTAGTGGCCGGCTCAGTTCCTTTGGGGGACCCGCCGGGAGAGAGAGGGGGTGGTTGGCCTGAGGGGAGGACGGGGGGAGACAAGGAGTTGACCCACGCTCGCCTCGGGAAAGGGTTGTGGCATATGCGCCACTCTCTCCAGTGACGTCAGGACTGGGGAGGACTGGTTGGGAGAAGAAACCAGTTTGCGGCTGCACAGATGGATCGCGGGCTGGGTTGGTGCCGGCGGCTGCAGCAGACGACGCTCCCTGCTCTGGCTGTTCCAAGCTCACGACACTTTCGCTTTCGGAGCTCGGTGTTGTGGCGGGTGTCTCGTGCTCCCAGGAGGAGGACGAAGACGTCGTGGGGGAGGAGGAACTGGCCTCACTGGATTCCTCGTTTCTGGGCGGTGACTGCGAGAGAAACTCGTCTGTTTGCGTGGCCGTAGAAATGGCGGCTGGCTTGGTAATGGCCGCCACTCGGCCTCCTCGGTTCCTTTGTGTCGCAGCCGGCTTCTTGGGCGGTTGCTGGCGCCGTGGATGTGGTCGAGTCTGTGGCCTGGACGTAGGTGACTCCTCCGGTTTCTCCTTGGGGTAGGAGCCTTTGCGAGCCAGTCGGAGGCGGGCCCTGGTCAGTCGCAGGCTGGCCGCTTTAACGGCTGGGCTAGGACTAGGAGGATATATATAAAAAAATTGCTGGAGTGGAAGCCGCCTATACTTACCCATAGAGCACAGTGAAGCCGGCGGCGGCCATCTTGTGGTGGGCAGGAAGGCGGCCGCGTAGCATATAGTGCACTTCCGCGGCCGTTTTTTTTTCGCAAATGATTGCTGCTAGAGAAGTAAAAACGTGCTCACATAGTCGCCGATACACTGGCAGTATTTAAAGAGACTACAGAACGGTTCGTTTTTCATGTGTTAAAATTTTATTTGTACAGCTTTCTCAGCCTTTAGCCAACATGAACGTTATGGCAAAGTTGTTTCACTGATTCCTAAAAATGACGAGTCTTGAAAGCAAAGACCTAACTTTGTCTTTCACGAGTTCCCGGCTTCGTTCCTTTGTCATGTGGTGCAGCCTGATCTTGATGTACAGCTCCAATACTTGCTTGCTCAAGTTGTAAATATGGTTGTCGACGTCAAAAAGATGTTGTTCCAATTGTGAAAACCACCTCTTTTCCAGTGATTGACTCAAAATCTCCAGGACTAGTTGTTTGGTATTGGCATGTATGTTCTTAAGGCATTGAGTGGAAGCCTGCAGTCGACGCAGCCCCTTTTCCGCTGTTTCGCACAGTGACACAACGTCTTCGGAAGGGTAAAAGAGTCCACCTCGATTTTTTTGTCTCACCAATAGAGATGTATCCGCTCCATGAAGAGCTTCTATGCACAACTCACAGGTGTTTGTAGTAGCGATTTTGCGAGCGACAAAGCCTGCAATGTAAGGCACGACAGAGCAAACGAATGTGGAGAGGCTCTCTGGATAGTCAATTCGGTCTGTGTAATCGTGGTCCTCTGGTTGTAGGATGGCACACCTTCGCGATGTGACCTCAGTGGTTGCACAAAATGTAGTGGCAGAGGCAGATGCACCCAGAATAGAAACAATATCTTGCGAACAGTTGCCTGAGGTGGACGATCTCACTTCTGTCTGGACCAATAGACGCTTGTAAGCTGCCATGAATTGGGCAGCTGTAGGGTTGTTGTTGAACCCCCCACGTCCTCGCACACAGCCAAAGAAAGTTTCTGCGTGATCTTGACTCATCTTGTGCGTGAGCAGATAGTTAAGTTGACCTTCATGAACGAGTTCCTTGAAGATACTTTCTGTGCTCTGTATACACACAAGAAAACCCACAAATCCTGTCCTCTTTGTTCCCTGCAAAAGTGGTCGACCGAATGGGTCTTTTAAAGCACATATGTACTCTCGAGCGTCGGCAAAAAATGGTTTCCAACAAGGCTCATTTTGCTTTCGAAGGGGGGCTTTGTATGATTTTGCAAACGCATTTCTGGAGTTTAGCAAATCGAAGAGATGATCAAATACCCTCACAAATTTTGCCGTGGCACTAGCACCTCTAAACTGTGGCAGCTTCAGCGTTTGCTCGCAAAATTCAAGAGCGTCTGCGACTGAAGCGCTGAGTGCCTGAACTGCGAGCCGTACCTTCATCTTTTGCTTCTCCCACTGCATATGCACCTTAGTTAGCTTATTGCCAAGGCGGAGCCCTTCCTCGCGCTGTAAAGCCTCCAGTGCCTTTATGTAAGCCCATTTTATGTGGTTTCCATCAACATCAGTGATGTAACACATTGTTGCCAGTGAATTTCTAATCAACTTAATCATGTGGCATGGGTCAAGCAGGATATGCACATCCCTTGACTCATCAACTGGGTTTTTAAAGGATGTGGAGAACTCGACAGGATCAGGCTTCAGTTCTGCACCAAGGCATTTTGCCATAGTGAAATTTGATGACGCACCATCAAATGTTAGACTGACAACTTGAACTTTCACAGATTCCAGTCGTTCAATGCATTGTTTTGTTAGTTCAGCCCTCTCAGAACCAGTGAGCGAGTGGATAAGAAAGTAGCCGACTGGAATTTTCAGCCTCATGTTTATGCCAACAACAATATAAACACAAACATTTGTGGCTTCAGGAAGGCTGTCATAATCAAGAGATGCTCCAAAATCAACGTAGCCAACTACCCTGTCTCCGACAAGTTCAACATGTTTCCTAATCGACATATCATCGACAATCAGAGCGCAGTAAAGAGTTTCAGAGCGACCTTGAACCAACTTCTCCAAGAAAGAAAATGCTTCACCTGTAAAGCCTGGTTGGCCATCAACAGACCTATACCATTCTCTGATTGTGCGCTGCGAAGGGAGGGCGTCATTAAACTTTGATCGCACAAATTCGTAGGCTGCTGGTGAGTAGAAATGTAAAGTTAGTGCAAACGTTCGCAGCTCTGGAGGGTATTTACCTCCACTTTCTGTCCGTGCCCGGTGAAGCAGCTGTTGTATGTCAGGAGAAAATGCTGCATCGAACATCTTGGAGCCCACTTCTGACAAAAGCTTTTGTTCTTCGATGCCTCTAATAATTTCTTCAGCGGTGATTTTCTTTTGTGTCAGCCTTCGTTTGCTCTGCTGCAACGTTTTAATTTTTTCTTCAAGTGCAATCTTTCGTCTTCTGTTTCCTGCAACTTCGTCTTGTACCACTGCTTTGATGGTGATACAGTGACATGATCTTCAGTATTTAAGGCCTCTTGCTGCTGAGCAGGACTGCATCCTCTAGGTTTTGGTGCTGGCCGCTTCCTTTTCACCTGAAATAAGCACATAGTGGAAATTAACTACTTTTAGAATGATATATATACTTCAATTATTGCTCATAACATGAATATATGTATTCACGAAAGCATGTTCGGGAACATTCGACAATGATCATGCGCTAATCGTGTGTTGAGCGATATTGTAAACGAGCGAACGGGACGAAAAGCTCGCGAGGAAACACGCAGCAATGCAGTCACGTCGACAAAACACGACAGAAGAGATATGTCTACGTCATTCCAACCTCCTTGATGTCAGAGCACTATATCTGCGAAGTTCCGATGCTTACCGGTGCCTGGAGGTGGGCAGGAAAAGCAGCGAACGAAGTCGGCACACTTCCCGCTTTCAACCTTGTTGTTTGTCCGGTCCGGTCAAAACACGCCGGATCAAAGTGCGCAGAGCAAAGGCGATCTTTATCTGTCGGTTTCCAGTGTTCACGACGCACAGCTCGCTCCCATAGGTTCCGTGTCTCAGCATCTTTTGGAAACCTGCCAATAATTTCCAAATATTAATTCCTTAAGCCTACCAATGAAAAACACGAGTCAGCCGTATTAGACCGCGTAAGCACTACGTGCTTTCAGTACGCACCTGTGAAATGTGATCTTGGAAGCAGGAATCGCGCGATTTGTGCACCCATACGCTACGCAGGATTGTACCATGCTCGCTTGAATCGAGCCGCACGCATTCGAATGCACTGCAGAGACACACTTGTCAAGGAAAGACAGGCGCACGAACCGCAATCCACCGTCGCTGCAGGTGAACTGGCAGCGCTGGCCGCCACCGAGCCAGCCGATCCGAGCTTTCTGCCCACCACAACATGGCGGCGCTGGCTTCACTTGAAGAGCGCTCCCTCCACTCCAGCAATTTTTTATATATATCCTCCTAGGGCTAGGACCACATGTTTGGGGCGTGGAGGCCACGTGGTCGGCGGCTTCGTTGAGGTCTGAGAGGAGAGCCTCAGAGTTGTGCGATAGCTCGTTGTTGCCGTCGGCCATGATAAGTGGCGACAGACCTCAAATGAGGTTGGAGAAAAAAAAAAGGAAAAAAAAAAGGGGGGGGGGATAAGAAATCAAAGAGTTAAAGCTACATAATGCTCTGCCCCCTTGATAGCCCTGAGAAGGGCTACGCTCGAGAGCGCGATCGTGGGAGCAGAACAAAAGAAGAAAAAAAAAAGAGGAGGACACGGGCGTGTCAATTACTTTATTTAAAGCAAAAGACTTGAAGGAGCGACGAGGAACCACGTCCGCTCCCTCCGAAAGACATCGACCGAAAAAAGTTATCTAATACCCCTGTCACACGGGCACTTAAAAGTCTTTTAAGTAAGCGGTCTTTTTCCGAAAAGGAGTTCCTGACAGCAGACACGCGGCACAGAGCAAACTCATTTTCAGAAGCGGTCTTTTTCGTAAACGGCGTTCGTCGATCTCTTTTACGGCTCCGAATGAGTAGCCTCGAAACCAGTGGGCGCCAGCAATTTTCGAGTGGTAGGAAAAAAAGAGAGAATGCTTATTTTTCTGTCATCAAAACTCTTTGTAAAAACAAATTTCATATCCCGCAGAAGGTGTAATGAACTCTTTTAATGGTTATTTCCTTTTATACTCTCGTAAGCAGCTACAACGCGTCGGCAATATGACGTGGTGACGCTCGGTTTTGCGCTGCTTTATCCTCTCCTTGGCGGCTTTTGCCGCGTCTGCCTCGCTTTCCAGAGCGAGAAGGCAGGCCGTGAGGCTTGCGATCCTCGCTTTTTCTCTCGTACGGTCGCCCATAACGTGTCGAGAGCAGTAGAGAACAGCGAAAAACAAATACGGTAAATAAAATCACAGTGGTGCCAGACGGACTTGTGCACGTCGCTAGTTATGGGAATGCTTCCTTATCTAGTGCAAAAAACTTTCACATTGGTGTTTCTTCATCTTTTATTCTTAAATTTATTTGAAGAAAGGAGCAGTGCAACAAGTCGTTAATTTGTACATTGTGATACATCGTTTAATTTTCATTGCTTCTCTTTTAACTGCTAGCGCCACGCTTTCGCTAGCGTCTTCGAACGAAAACACTAAAAGGAGATCGTTGCTGCCGTGTGTCTGCGCCGCAAACACCTCTTTGTTAAAAGTCTTTCAACTTCATAAAAGACCGCTTACTTAAAAGACTTTTTGCACGCCCGTGTGACACAGGTATAAAGCCTCTTCTTTGTCGTGGCAAGTCGCCTGTTGTGTTTGTGTGGATTCGTCCGAAAATGGAACGTAACTCGGATCGTACAATTTCCATTTCTCATTCACGTCGTGTGCTTGAATGCTACATAAATAACAAACGAAGGCATATACTGGGGCAACGTTGTTTGGCGTAAATAATCTATTCACTATAGAGTTAATCATCTCACCCCCTAAGCTAGTTGCAAACACATTTCTATCGATTTTTAAATTATTGAATGTACACACTAGCGCTTGCCCGACTTTCAATTCCTTTTCACCATACGCCCACCGCAATGCATTTGCGTTGTTGAGCCAAGGTTCTTGTGTCGGCACCGATTATAATATTTCTTTGCGTAAAAGGGTCGTGTTTGAAGGCAAATGAGGGATTACTTCGCGTTTCCAACACGCTGCTGCCGCCGTACAAAACGGTAATTTCTCGTGCCAATTAATGTCGTACTTGAAAATGCTATTTTGACTAGTATCCACTGCAGCCACATTTGTAAGTTCGGGAAAGGAAGTTGTAACGGGTATTGGTATTGGGAACCAAGTACCCGCGCCTATCGATATCGCATCGCTATCCAGCAGCACGATCGGCTTGCTTATGTCTAATTTCAAATCGCCTTTATCAAAATCCCCCTTTTTCTTATATCTCGCAATCATATACTTGTCTTCGAGCCAATAATACGGTGGAGTTAGAAAGAATTTACTACACTTTTTACGTCCAAAAATCTGAGTGTTAATATACTTTTTCCATAGTTTGTAAATAATTGCAAAATCCGGAGTGGGAGCATCTTCGCCTGCCATTTTTATTAACAAAGAACTGTCGGATACGGATGGGGGGTATAAGAGAAAAGAAAACAAGTATGAAACAACTGTTATTAGTATGCTCGGTACTATTTTTAATTATTGCAATGACACTCTTTTACGGAGGCACATTACAGACAAAATAAATGCAATAAAACTGGCACAATGGACAATACCTACTATACTTTCGCAGATAGCAATATTTCTCCAATACAATTGAAAAAAAAAAATGCCGTCCGTGTACGTTAAAGTTTTTATTCACGTATTTAGTCTTTCGATCCTGTTCGGGTCACTAGCCCTATTCTATTTCGTGGGAAAACCGTTCAAGAGAGGCTTTTTTTGTCATGACCCGGCTCTTTCGTACCCGTTCCGCAAGAGCACTGTCACATCTGTAATGCTCTACACACTGTGCTCTTAACGGCAATTAAAACGATCGTCTTTACCGAATTGGCGCTGATGTTCTTCGAGTCGCACAAATTCAAACTCTTCTTGGTCAGATGCTACGGGGCACTCGTAACTTTCGTAAACGGCGTATTCGTCAGTCAATTAATTACGGACGTGGCCAAATACAGCGTGGGGCGCTTACGGCCTCACTTTTTTCGACTCTGCAAGCCGGTAAATTACGATCTTTATTGCCCACCCAACGCCACGGCAAACACTTACATCGAAAACTACGAGTGTAGTCCGGGAACGGATCCCTATCTTCTGAAAAACGTCCACATGTCCTTCATGTCAGGACAGTCTTGCCTTTGCCGCATTCTGCGCGTCCTTTTCTGTAATTTATATAATTGCCAACACAACACCAAAGACCCGCTATCTTCTTCCGTTAAAATCGATCTTTGCAGCTGCCATAACATGCAGCGCAATGTACATCTCCTACTCAAGAATTACCGACTACAAGCACCACTGGGAAGACGTCACCGCCGGATATATGCAAGGATCCGTTTTGGCCTATTTAATTTGGTTCTACAACAACAAAATGATACACAGTGACAAGAAATAGAGGAAAAACATTTCTTTTATTTTTGCTTGGTCTCTACTTTTTAGTGTTACATCAACATTCGTTGAACTTTCTCGAGGTGTTCAGAAATAAATTCGTTAGAAGTGCGCTTTTTGGGAATCTTTCCGATAGATACAAACTTAGGGTGCATCATATTGTTGACAAGATCAAAAGACAACACCAGTTCTCCGCGGTTACAACACTGTGGTTCTGGGATCAATTGCAAGCCATTCATCTTGGCCTCATGATCCAGATCGGCAAACATCACATTCTGCTTATTAGACAAAATACAGTGCACAGTCAAAGACTCCAATGCACAAACCACACCCCGATGCATATCTCTGTCTTTCACAAACAGTGATTGTTCTCTTTTATCCCAAGTAAAACAATCAATGTTCTTGGTAATGTATGGCACAAAATTCAAGTGCTGCTCAATGTAAGTAACTGCACTGAAAATTCCACTCGAGATGAAGTGATCAGGACGGTACTGCCTTTCAAGCAGAGGTACGTAAAACATGAAGTTTAGTGCATTAGATAACTCAGTAGTGGCAACTCCGTTGCAAATGTTAGCATTAACTAGCATCATGTAGTCAGTCCTGTACATTTTAATGAACTCCCTATAGTCCTCTCGCACTTGGCATTCCAAATGAAATACACTCTTCAAATGCCTTTTCAGATAATTGCAGACTTTATTAAAGATGTTATGGCATTGCCCTGTAGTAAATGCACTGCACTGCATGTTAATTTCAAGAAACTCCATTTGGGATGCACACTGCTTCAGACACTGTTGATTAATGTATCTAATTACATTGTCCATTTCACTCTCTAGTTGTATATAACAATGAATTTCCAGATTTGTCACATTTTGCATGACTACAGATGGACTGCCACGAGCTGAAATGTACACACTGTGGCATGTGGCCATACCTGCATCCCTGTGGTTAGGTGGAATGGAATAGCTCACATTGAGCTTATTAGTTATTACATTCACATCGACATCTACATCTGTAATGGCGGTATTATTTGTCATATTATACTCAACCACTGGCTGAAAGTCGATGTGCTTCAACATGTCATTTCTCAAAATTGTTATGGTTCACAAAAACGTCGTTGAACGACTTGAGTACGAACTCTCGGTGAGAAATAGACTCTATGGCCACATTAAATCCACTTTTGTTCTTGATCAAATAGCCCGCCATGCCTTTTTGGTCAATGCAAAGCAGCGGAAAGTCGTATACTGGACAGCTGCTGCTAGCTTGTCCGATGCAAAGCGCATGCTTGCTCAGCTTTGTCTTTGCATATTCCAGCAAAGGCATGTGGGGTAGTACATAACAAACAAAAATGTCCTTAATCATGGACAGAAAGTCAAAGCCTGGTACCAATGGCTTAAGTCCACTCATCAAGCCAATGGACTCGTCCATGGGACTGTTAGAGTGACTAATTTCCACATAGAAATAGTTACTAAAAGGCTCCTTGGCTTGATTATTGAAAGCTTCAACCATTACAAAGAAATTTGTCAACTCCGTGAGTGTGGCATATGGCAAGTCGCAGAAGTGTGCTGCAGAAAAATAACCATTCGTGAGAATCATACAAAAGCTATTGAAATCTACCAGGCAGTTGGTAATAACTAAATGGGCCTTTCTCATTCGAGCGAGATCTACAGACACCAGTGAAGGCTCTCCTACAATGTGTACATTCTCAATGGTTATGCATTCTAGAATAATAGCTTTGCACCACTCAATAGACGTCATGAGCAGTCTCAAAGCACAAAATGCTGTCTCATTAACCTCTCTAT